AAGGATGAAATCCCAAATCCTTTACATGACAGTTGTGGGAAGAGTGGAACTTTCTTCGAATTGGTGGTAATCTTGCTTGACTCAAACCCGATGCGTATTTCTGCGCCATTTCCCTGCTTCTGCGCTCTCTGCCGTATAATCGAATTGTGAAACAACTATACTCATACGATTGTGGTGCTCAAGAAGAATGATTCTCATAAAAAACAGAGAGCTATTTTTGTCAGAGAATGAGCTCCATTAGATATGGAAATTTACCGCTTCTCCTGCCCAGAAACGTGGTTGTCGTAACTCATTAAAGTGCCACCGACTTCACTTTAAGGTGTCATCAACATCGTATATCTTCACTTAATTTTTTTTTTCTCGTTAGCAAGCTAGCAGGAACTATTGTCAGAATTTTGAATTTTTCTTCTTTTAAAGAGAAATCTCGACTTGAAACCTCAAAGGAACAATTGAAGTGATATTGATGCTGTTAAAAACAATCAAAACAGCTGAAAAAAAACTGAGCAAGTCAATTGTATAACCTCTTTATTTCACCTGCGTAAGCTATTCGAACATTAGTATTTTTATACTTGGTGTATTTTAGAATGAATAAGCCTTTATTCTCAGACGCAGTGTGTTCAGTATCATGACTCAAGTCACACTGATGAGGAGAAAAAAAAACTGAAACAACAAGATAATTTAAAAATAAAAAATAAAATAACAACAAGTGTGTTTATGGTACTTGCAACAGGGGGGAGGATTTTTTAATTGATATTTATCAAACGTATAGGGCCGGTTATTAAAACAAAGTTTAGACGTTCTAAACTATCTTGAATTTAGCTGAATACTTTGTCTGACCATTCATTTTTGTGAACAGTGTCAAGAGGGCCGAAAGCTAGCTGTGGAAGGACATTTTTTTTAATGAAAGCAACCCTCTCATAGAGAGTTAGTAAGATAAACTGCTTGCGTAAAACTGCGGTTTGGGTTAGAGCTCGTGTAAATAACCGACCTATAGTTTTCTAAACAATTGATTCATTGTAAACACTTGCATTGTTTATTCCAATCTAGTAGCGCACATACTAGCTAGCTCATGGGTAGTTCTTTACAGCTAGAGTAGTTTTTAATTTTTTTTAATTTAATTTTTCGGTTTGCAGTATTTTACTTTTGTTGATGATCTTTTTTGTTTCGTTTTGTTGTTGTTGTTGCCATTTTTTTTTTCAGTGAACGAGTAGCTATTGCGTCTGTATGTCTACGAAG